GTGGTTGCGGCGGCACCACTCAGCTACAATCCTCAAAACATTGAACCTTACAGGAATTGAGTTCTGTGCTGACTGGCCTCTCAAGGTCTTCTGCCTTTTGGTATTTGAGATGGCCGTCTTCATGGGCCTTATCATCCCGCTTCCTTTCACTGTCAAGCGGAAGCTGTTCACATTCATCTCTGAAAGTCCCTTAGTAGCAAAATTACAATATGGATTGAAGGTAACCTCTCGAATCCGAGAACCTGGGACGTACCGTTTTCTGATCTATGTCTAGATCACATTCATATTCATATTGATTCTGTTCATTGACAGTGTCAACCGCGTCTATCGTGTGCAATTGGAGCTCGCTTCCTTCACTAAGGACGGCAATGGGATGGGGTAAGCACACCAAGATCATTATCCTCCGCTTTTGATATTGTGACTGTTCTGACCATATGCGCAAATGCGTTTGTTATTAGTAGAGCGGCCGCACTTGGCACAGATCGCATGGAAGTCCAGGCTCGCAAGTTCTATTCCCAGCGTAACATGTACCTTTGCGGCTTCACTCTCTTCCTGTCTCTCATCCTCAACCGTACCTATACCATGATTCTCGAGGTCCTTCGCCTTGAGGACCGCGTCAAGCACCTTGAGGGCGACAAAAGGGCTGGCGGCAAGGACTCTGCCCGCCTCGCTCAGGCTGGTGATATCGGAGAGATTGCACGCCTTAGGAAGGAGATTGAGGCCAAGGACCTTGACATTGAGACCCTGAAGAAGCAGTGTGAGGGACTTACCCGTGAATACCACAGCTTGGGCGACAAGGTTGCTGGCACCACCAACAATGGCTCCAAGAAGGATCTGTGATTCGGAGGATTGCTTCGCGATGCGGAAGCTCCTTTGGTCGGACGTCAGGAGTCTGGTTGGGGATGGAAGGGTTGGTGGGTGAAATTGTGAGCGACGTTGGTTTGAGGAAGTGCTCATCCGCTAGAGGACGGGCTCAGCATGCTGGATTTGATCTATGCTGACTGATGGTGTGTTTATTGGAACTTGCGAAGAAATCGAGGTCGGATGGCGTATACTGTATCTTGTGTGACGGCTGTTGCCTGGTTATAGCGAAGCTTTTCACTTTTCGGACGATGTCATTGACTCGGTAGCATGATGTAATGAGCGTTCCATGAATCAGAGGTCATCCAAAGGTGGTCGTTGAACAGGTCTAAGCGTCTATATTTGAAGGGTTGGGTGCAACCGGTAGTGCGAAGACTCAGTTTACTGTCGCGAGAGCCGGATAGATCCCAGACCAGCCACTGTAATGGAGGAAATATGTGTATCGTAAACTGAGCAGCTTACTCTTTTGAACTTTCTTAGCAGCGGAACGAAGCTTGCTAGCAGAACATCCCGCGAACGTCAGAAAACTTTCGCGATTGAAGAAGAAAAAAGTCATGATTTGAGCTTTCAATCATAATTCATTACGTGGGCATTAGATAAGAAAAGTCCAGAAACTAGGATAAACAAGCTCCTCCTCGAAGATCCTGCGCACTTGTGCAAGGACAAAGCGTTCAACCTTGCCCACGTTCTTCAATACTTGCTTCCCATCTTCCTTGCGGCCAATCTCACTTTCTACCCGGATCTCCTGCAGCAAGCCTCCGTGGCGCTTTTGGGACGCTGAGGCTGAAGAGTCAGATCGGGACTGCGGACGGTGGTCATCACCGGCTGATTCCTGGTGCTGGTGCTGCTGTTGCTGTTGCTGCTCGGAACCAATCAGGGCGTCCGCGTCTTCCGCGGATAAGAAGCAGAAATGTACTCGTTTACGGATATATGCGATGACAGCTACGCCGTCAAAGGTGACGCCTGTGACATTGAGTTTTAGGGGCAGACCCACGAAGCTGGGCATCGGATAGTCTAGGAGGATTTCTGCCGTCAAGGATAACCTCACGTCGCCGGTGTACTTGACATGGCAGAGAACTTGGAAATCTTCCGGGCGGCGCTCGCGCATCCGTGGGGGCAGATGTAGGTGCCCCGGCGCGACCGGGTCCTCTAGGTGTTCCCCGGCATGAAGGGACGGATGATCGTTTCTGCCGGTCGCGCCTTCGCCGCTGTTCTTGGTTGAGCCCGAGGGATGGGAGGGCAGGGTATTTGCTGTTGACGGACGGGATGTCGAATTGCTGGTGTCGATCTCGGGTTCGGCGCGTTGGTGCTGCAGCCCGGCGTGTCTCTCCGAACGACCCCTGTTCCCCGGCCCCAAGCCGGAATCCGACCAACCGCTCGCAAATGGGTTGCCCCCCGCCACTGCAGCAAGGGGTGTTTGCGTACCGGAGAGACCCCCAAGCGACATCAGGTGATAACCTAAAGTCGACGTTCCGCCCGGAATACCAGGAGTACCTGCACGTGGGAGGAAATGGGGATTGAGGTGCTCGCCTAAGGGCGATCGCAAGGGGGAGGCAGGAAACCCGTCAGGGAAAGGATCTCGTAAGGAATGATTCACTGCTGTATCTTCTCGATAGGAGGGTTCATTGAGCTCCGGATGGGTTCTGTTCCACTGACTCGAGTGCTCCGAGTCAAGCTCCTCGGACCCATCGGACGTATCGTCGTTTTCATCTTCTTCGTAGAAGTCGGCAAAGGGCTCACAGAAATCTTTAATTTCGAGCTCCGGCGGAATGGTCCCAAAATCGAAAGCGTGGACTTGGACAGAACGGATGAACCGGGGCAGAGCGACCTGCTGGAATCTATCGTGGATGAACGAGCGGATGCGCTCAGCAAGAGCTTCCCCGTCCGGACCGGAGGTGGCGGACCTCCAGTTGACGTCTATGGACATTACATGTGCGAACAAAGAAGACCTGCGCAGGGATCTGCTGGTCCTGATGTGAGGAAGCAATTTCCAAATTTGACTCTTGACGCAGGCGAGAGTTAGTCGAGCTCAAGGATAATGTTTGACGCCATAACGGAGATTCCTCGGCTGTCTGCGGGTCGAGTCACGTGATAACAAACAACACCCAACATCGTCAATACAACCAACAGACTCAAGATCTCCAGGCAACTGCTGTTCCTGGCTCTATATCGGTTACACAACGGTTAAAACCAAGTCAACTTTCTTTGTTGCCCACGTTTTGGGCTGGTTGATCACTCTGACCGGGCACTTCTACTGCAGACGGCCGTCACACCGCTAAACGTTGCTGTCCCAGCAGTCTGGTTCAGCCACTTTCTTCCCGAGTTGTTCTCGTGGATACGAGAAGAAACTGGCAGAAAACTGCCAGAATCTTGCCTTGATGAGGGAAAGAAAAGACGCCTGGCGGTAAGGATTGCTCATTGACTCGAGGTGTGGAAAAAGTTGAAAGGACTATCAAGGTTCATGACTGCCATGAGTCCTGCTGTGCAACCGGGCCATGAGATGTTTATCCTTTTGACTTCAACCCACCGTCAGACACCAACAGTGCAGGGGCACTGAAGACAGCCATTGGTCTACTAATTGTTCGTCTTGCAGGAAGAGGATGGGAAATTTCTCCATCTGGCTCGATTGCCTCGCTGCCTGTTGTGTTTTAATCTGAAAGCGCTCCGTCATAGCCTGCTTGATAATCTAGGCCCCTTGACTGCGGCAAGATGGTGGCAGGTCGAACCGGAAACTCCGCATCTTGTTTTCTTTCAAGGCACTCAACAGCGAGCTTGGCGCAAAGAAAATGCGCCACAAATCGATCGTTTTCTTTGACAGGGAGCCGTAAATCGCCCCTCCCCCCACGCCTCGTCTAGTTGATCTACGATTCTGAGCTTCCTGTCTCTACTTCTGAAAGGCTGCTGATCTAGAAGCTTGCATATTTGTTCCATGATTACGAGCATCCTGCTATCATGCTCTGATCCTGCCGGCAACCCATCTACTCACCACTACCCTCTCCCCAGCCCGTAACCCACCAAGATTTGCGTCCAACGTAGGCGCTACTATTTCGCTTCCTGAAACAGCTTCTTTGGTTCCCCCAGTGAAGTGCTTGCGTCAGTGTTGGTTCCACTTTGGCTTAGATCGACACCTGATAACTCCAGTCGTGTGTACCCGATTTCAGCCGCTGATTGGTTGCTCTGCATCAGATGATTGAGGTCGTCTGCGGTGCTAATGCAACCATGTAACCTGTGATGCACATTATTCACCAGTCATGAAGACCAGGGTCTTCTGGACTCGATATTGCACCAGTGGGGTCATCTAGGCGTCTGAGAGCAGACACTGGGCCTCGATTGCGGTAGATAATCCCTCTGAAATTTCTAGCCTGCTGCTTGCTATAGTCTATGTTCGTTTATCTCTTGAACTCCGAAGTTCCGAGACTCTAGGCATGTATCATGCGGCTCCTAAGTGTTCCCAATCCCCTTCTCTCAAGCCACAGATCTCCTAGGACTATGCACTCTGGACGTTTTACTAGTTTGCATCAGGCTGTTGCCTTCTTTTCCTTGTGGTCCTTTTCAGTGGCTGAAGGTCAGCATAACACATGGCTTCCTCGGTGATCTGCATTGCGATGCAGAGAGCTCGTGTACTCTTTGTTATGAGGAGCAAGTTTGAAGAAGCAAAAAAAAAGGAGTGTGGTATTCGACTAATCAAGTAGAAACAAAAGGCAAGCAATGCATATGCAGATGGGTAATTGGCCAACAGGCGAAGGGACCTGGAGAGAGCAGCAGAAGGACCTTGAGCACCTGGAGGCTGTAACAAGTGCAATCGAAACAAAAGCAGCTGGAAAGCAAACAGAAATACAAGAGTGTGCTTGAAACATGTATGTACGCATGGGGCATGAAAGAAAGTACCGCATAATCATTTCCCCTAGTTTTCCTCCTCTTCCTTCCAACTAAGATGCCTTCATGCTTCTCGCCCAGACACTGCCCCCTTTGCTGCGTGCATTGAAACAAGCAGCAATGCACAATGGAGAAATCGTAGATTATGTCCTCAAGCTTTCAAATCATTGCGCAGGAGCTCAAGTCTGCCACTCTGTCAGCCCAACTCATCCCAGCATCTTGAAAGAAGAGTGTCCAACTAACTGCTTTAAACGCTATCCGCCATGCGCAGGGCAGTTGTATCCCTCTCGTCGTCGGATCTGCTGTCGGACGCCGGTGCAAGAGGTGCCTCGCTTCGCGCAGTAGACGACATCGCCTTCCGGGACGGTGCAGCCGCAATCATACTTGTAGAAATATTGCGAGCACATTTTGAAGAGATGGCCTTTGAAGTAAACCGGTTATAGAGATAATTGATATCGAGTTGTGGTTCGCGGGAGATCGGTCGTTCCGCTTGAGCAAAGGGTAATTCCGCACACGGAGAAGTAGTTCAAGTTCCAGAAGGGCTTTTTGGTTTTGTTCTCTGAGATTCTGAGAGCACTGGATTTGTGATTGTTGAGATGATGGGTTGAGGTATTCGACGGGTCTTTATGGCCCTTTAAATAAGATTGCGGCAGCTTTTGGACTCAGTCGAAGATGATAGAGAGGACAGTTTGAATGACTGCGGCCAAACTGTGCCGCAACAACACTATCTACTCAAATTGGTAAATGAATGCATGCCCGAAGAGAAAGACTAAAAGTGAGAGAGAACGACAAGGATACTACGGGAAAAAATAAAAAATAAATAACAACATGTAGGGATAAAGATGGTCAAGGAACAGTAAACTACGCATGCAGCTCTCGCCTTGCTCTTTTCGGCCCCTTGACATATTAAGTCTGAATGTTGGTGATTCGATCTACATCATGTTTGTATGCATTAAACCCAACATTTTCCAGAACACATAGCAAATCAGACGCTTACTTGTTTCCGAGAACTACTGCACTAGGTTTCCCCAACACCAAGCAAGACTGGCGGTTATGCGGATCATCAAAGAGGATGGCGGCCGACGATGTCAGCCTAGTTGATAGTTCACTTGCCAGTCAGAGCAAATAGGGAGATTGTGGCTATCAAAATTCCTCCGACAGGAGTCGATCACATACCCTGGTCTCGAACTCTGTGCATTTAGAGTTCCGCATCTGCATTGGGAGAAAGGGGTTGACATCATACTAAAGACACTGTGGCATTTCCCGCCAGGGGGTGGCCGGTCACATCTGCGAGAGGGAGGAACCAACAATAGCCGTCTATCAAATCAGTTGCGATAGCTAGCCAACAGGTTGACCCTTTGTCTGTCATGGCGCAGTCAGGCATACTGCTTCGACTGAGCATCTGACAATTGTCACGCAACCGACAGACTCTGTGACTCTTCATCTATCGATGATGGACACTCTGCGAAATTTAATTCCTGTCATGTGTTCACCATCCCACAGATGAGGAGGGAGGGTGGGCAGAAAGGTCATCATCAGATAGGACCGATAGAGGAGGGCATACCGCAATCAGTGTCAATGAGATCTGTGCCGGACTTGTTGGATCGTGACTTTTACCACTGGTGTGAAACATCTCGCATCAAGGCTGAGTTGATACCCAGAAGGATGAGCCACCTGCTCCAGGTGCCGCATCTCCGTAGGCACACTCGCCGTCCCACATCAACATCAACAGATAGAGATTCTCCGTTGTGAATGGAAACAGAGTGACCAAATCAAGCACAATAGGTGGGGCTAGAGTAATGAATCTGCAAGGAAAGTATTATCATCACAAGAATCGAGGCTTCTTGTCGTTCCATCGGGCCAATCTCAGTAACACCTACCGAGGCGCAGTTGGTGATGTCTGCAAGACTCTGTCAAAACCCGTTGGTTTAGATCCGCATTGTGATGGGGAGTCAATTGAAGTAGGTTATCCAGGGTTGTCCCCGTTCGGAATTGTAATGCCATTTGTTCTTCAGTGTCGGCTGTTTGTGATATGACTGGAACAGAGTTTGTGAGTCACCGGCTAAACATCGAGAAACGTTTCCTCCGAGGAGGCATATTCGGCGGCGCAAAACAATACCAGCCTATAAACTCGCCTTTCCGCTCGAATCGCGAGCACGTATGGACTCACCGAAAGGTGACGAGTTTGGACCTGAAGATGGCACAGCATTTGGGGGCGCTCTCAACAAAAGTTGAAGGATAGTCTATGGGAGAAAGCTGACCTGAAGCCCTCGTTGAGCCGCTGAGCACCCGCGCCACAAACAAAAGAGAGTATTTCACTTTCGTATCGGCGGCGGAAAGAGGCTTGGGGGGGCGCCAAGTCAGCGACTATCCACAGGTCGAACCAGGGGCAAATGGCCTTTGATTAGCCGCCGTTGGTCGTTTGATCTGAATGCGCCGGTAGATAATATAGCCAAGGCTGTTTTTCTTCTTGATTGTGCGATCAGGCGGAATCACCAGGGGGAAGAATCAACTAGGATCTGGCTGAGGTTGCTATTCCTGGGTGCAGGTCATTATTATTTCTTGATGTTTGTTTTCTGCGTTTCTTCTCCCAGTGTGCTAAGCACGTGACATGTTTCCTGCGTCCTTTGCATCGTCTTCTCCAACTTATATGTTCACATCCTATATCACTGAACCATCTGAAGGCTGTGCTCATTGACAGTAGACGGCTTTTGGATGTCTCTCTCATTTAATGGTATCAGGTATATGAGAGGCCTCGGTGGTATGGCTCAACATCGGTGCATCTTCTCTAAACTTACCTCAAGACATACACACGGGCGACTTGGGCTTCAATCCTTACGTCCTTTTTGTGGGGATAAACTTATGCTTGCTAAACCCTGTCCCGCAGTTCTTCGGCAGATACTGGAGGCCTCTTGAGAATGTTCTTCATGGTCAGCAACAATATTTCACATAACTGCCAAGAGGACTACCAGAATGATCGACCCGGTCATTTGCGTGAATCATCTTAGAAAAGGCTTCGAGAATTGGAACGCTAAACCCCATGCATGATTTCCTCCCCTTTTTTTCTTCTTTTCTTTTGAGAATCTACTGTGGTTGCTGCCGCTGAGTTCTAACCGCCAATTCGTCATGGATAGTCTAATCGATAGTTAGAGCTCGCGTCTTGGCTTTACTTCCTGGTTGCTGATCACCCGAGGTTGTGCGGTTGTCGTCGGCCCCAGTCAGATGCTTGTGTGAGGGCCAACACCCAAAACTATGKATATATACACAACGACATTATTTGACCATAATAGCGGTGCACTGCGCAAAGAAATATCCAGCAAAGGCTTGGCAGAGTAGGAACGTACACGCAATGATCATGCTGGGTCCGGCAATAGGGATAAATCCAGCTCCCTTGGATACTTGGTTTCTAGGCCAAGAGACGCAAAGGGGAAGGGATGAGATCTCATCTTCCAATAATGACGTCTTGGCCCCTCCATATCTGGCGCTATCCATATCGCTCTAATCATGTGAAGGACCTTGTGCAGCATGCCTGATCCACTTTCCGACGGGAAATTGCAAATGGGATGTTTGACGGTTTGATACCGGCTCATCTGCTTAGTTGTCCTGCAAGTGAGACGCGATAACTCTCTGGATCGGCGTCTTTCGGTGGACTGGATATGATCCCCCGACGGTAGCCCCTCCTTCTTGAATTCAGTCTTGGCTGGTATCTTCACATGTATATAAAGGGTCGCCGAATCTCGTTCCGGTTTGTCTTCTTGACCGTTCCTTAGACATCGTCCCATCCCTTTCTCTGGATTTCTTGCAAGTCTGCTTGACCGGTCGAACCTATATATCTCCATCTCCATCACCATCTTCGTCTTCATCCCCATCTCCATCTTGGCCACTTGCCTTCAACACGCTGCTGTCGTCTGTCCCAAACAAAATGTATACCTATACTCCCACCAGCAAGTTCCTCGTTCTCTCTCCTGTTCAGTCTCGTCCTGCGCAGACCAGCAAATTCCTTGTCCTCACACCCACCGAATCTGGTCCGGAGTATGAGCTTGGCACATCATCTCCCGCCTCTCCTGAGATTCGGGACCGTTCAGACAGCGTCAGTACCGACGAGTCGCAGATTGAAGCTACATTTTCTCCCTTCGCTGGTGGCTTTCTCTACCTGGGCCACGGTATCAGACCTAAGCCGGTGAACGTCTGATGGATCCACTTAAAACAACCCTACCACTCTGACAACTCTATGGTTCAATCGCGCTGGACACGATACCAATTCCTCAGCATGGTCAGCTGATCAGCTCTGAGACACTCAATGGCGTTCCTTGGTCTTAATTTTAGCGCTTTGTCATGGACAAATACGGCCCAGTGAAGGGTCCACGGGGTCTTTTTCTAGGTTCTTCTTTTCGGACACTTTTTTGCTTTTTTTCCAACTTCTTCCCTGTTTACATCCTGTTTTGCATGAGACAAGTCATTACACATTCAATCGCATCATCATTGACTATCTGCTCATCATTATCACTATTGAAGGAAGGGGGGAACTCGATGACCGCCAAGCCTTGTGTGCAATCTGATAATGACCCAATTGGGAAGAATCGATCATCCATGTCTCACAGCCAAGCAATGGCGAACTGTCTGGATAACTGCCAAGAAGCGCTCATCCCTTGTTTGTTGACAGTACTCCGTAGATAATAGTCCTCCTTCTTTACGTAGTGGTCTACGGATAATATGTCCATATATTTATCCGTCTGACAGACGGAGGTAGTAGACATGGTACCGAGTAAACAAATACTAATAACGAGGAAGCAAGCCCACCGGATCTGATCTGATCTAAAAAGTGGGATGCGTCATGCAGCAGCCTGTAAACTAGCCTTCCTTCACCGGTCATTCAAATCTGATCTAAGCTTCTTTCTAGAAGAGGGAAGAGGGGGGATCTAGACTCCACCACGGGATAATCCCCCACCTCCTCTCCGTACATTCCTTTCCCGCGGTGAACGGAGCGGAGCGTCAGTATTCAGCAATGCTATTGCTACTTACGGAGTCCTCTGTACTACATACAGGATCACAACGACCATGGTCACGAGCACCCAGTCCAGGGATAGGTAGATAGATAGATAGGCAGAAGACTTTGGCATTCATTCCTGCCAAGGACCTCGTCCTCGGGCGATTCGGCTCTCACACTTATCTGGACCTAGACTAATCTTGCACAACAATCACACCACTTACAGATAAGCACTACCGAAATACTCCCTTCGAGAACACTCGTGCATCGATTAATCGAGAAACCCAGACATCCTACTCCGGCTCCAGAAGTCTTACGGCCTAGAATAGATTCTCACTTTCTCTGCGATAACTTTCGCATTTTCGGTATACCCTTGAATAGGATAGGAAGAGCAGGGTAGAGTATACTGGCAGGGAGCGCTCGAGCAGGGTACACACACAGCGCGCAGACTAGCGG